CCTTAGAATTAGATATGCTTGCTCCTGCCTCGGGTTTATCTGTTTGGACCACTTTCAGTAGCAGATAGTTCGAAGGAGAGGCCTGCTGAAAGTGGAGAATTAAACCCTAATGGGATTCTCTGTGCACAGTTATTCTGGACACATTACACATTGATTGCACCCACTGGATTTAGATATATATTTTTAAAGATTTCCATAAATATTTAATACAGATGTGCAGATATTGACTACAAAAGTGGGAGATTCTCTGTTTAATGTTGGCTTCCCTTGTGTTTTAATTAATAACGCTTATTCTCAGCTTTTGGGCTTTTTTCCTGCAGAAATCTGAATCAGCAACAATAAATATTAGATCTTTCTATATCAACAATAAATTGAAAAGGATCAAAGTTTAGTTAATCAGTCAGCATAAAAATAGAGCAAAATTCTATTGTAAAGTCATGCTATAAGTGCAAGAAAGATTAAAACCAGAAATTTGAGCATATGGGAATTCATCATAGAGTTGGGGTTGTTAATTATTAGTATTTATTTCCACTAGTGTTCTGTTTGGAAAAGAAAAATTAATGTAAGTTTCTATTGGTTCCTCTGAGATCACTGGCATCTTAATTTTACAGTGTTTGTAGGTGTTTTGACTAATCAACATCCTTTGTTTTGAATTTTCAGTTAAGGAGCATGAGCAGAAAAATTGTGTACATGGATGGAGTTGAGTTGTCTTTCACATTAAACCACATAATTGTTTTAAAAGGACATAGTAGACAGTACTAAACATAGATGAAAGAACACTAGATGTTACAGAGAAAGCGCCATACAGCTATCCCCAAGAAGATGTGGCTTACTCCATGTAATTAACTTTTTGAATAAGAGATTGAGATATGTAATAAAGGCATGGTAAGAAAACTTACTTTTCAAAGACAAGGTATAGGTGGCATGTATTCAGGGGAAAAAGCCAAGGAAACTATGGTAAACCAGATTTGTTCTGATGAAGCTGAACAATAGCTGATCTATTGACTAGTAACTCAGCCAGTAATTTTTGAAGTTCTTGGAATGAAATCTACAGTTTAAGGAAGAGTAAGGGTCTTAATGGTGATATTAACTCAGAGCCCTATAAAAGCAATGAAAAAAACTTTCCAAAATAAAATGAGTATCTTTACCCCAGCCTGGTGGATTCCAAGTGTATTGGTCTTCAACTCCCATTATTATCATGCAGCATGACTTGGAATTCTGGTATTACAATCTAAAATGTCTAAAAGACAACAAGTTGGGGATATGTGCTCTAGTGCTATCAGATTGTCTTCTGCTTCAATCAGAGTATATATCCTGCAAAATAACATTCTATTTATTAATCCTAAACTTGTACCAGTGAACAAGATTTTCATGATAGAAGGCTTCTGTCCGTTGTGAATCACAACCTACTGCTTCCTGTATGTATCACTTCCTGTTTATCAAGCTGGCTTTTCCTCTACTTGAAGATTCCTTTGCTTGAGGCATTGTGTTATGCCATGGATTTGCTAAACTACAGCTTCTTGAATAAACCACACTCGCTTGAGTTTATACAACACAAACCATTGTGGTTAGGTTCATGTAATATACTACATCAGAAACATAGAAATTACTTGATGTAAGAATCCAACTGAAAGGAGCAGGCAGTCAGTTCCACCTTGTGACTCTAGGCCTTTAAATGTTAAACTTGAAATGTTTCTTCTATGTACTACTTTAAAGTTTAAAGATAACTTTGTAAAAAGTGACTGATGTATACACAGTTTTGATAAGAGGAACATCTGGCAAACCATGTTATTACTCATTATTTTATTCTTCAACATTCTTTTCTTATTAAGGTGCTGCCCAAATCTCTCTTTGTTTTTCTGGACAAAGCTTGTTATGGAATTGTCATTAAGGGTTGCTTCTTCCCTACCTCCCCCAAGGTAGGAAAAAGAAAAAGTTAGGAGAAACAATGGGCCAGACTGCTTCCCCACCTCTTCCCTTTAGGGAATGTAATCAGCAATCTTGTCTTTAAATCTCTAGTAGCAAATACTTACAGGTTCGCTGAGATGATCCACTGCAGCCCTATACTTCATATAACAGATTCCCGTAGGCTCAATTAAACCTTGTTTTTTTCCTCCTGATGTATTCACAAGTAGCAATATGGATTTACTAGGCAGATTGGATGATTGCAGATTCCTCCATTATCTTACTGGGCCTTTATATCTTGCCTTTTGGGGAAATTTGCACCCACAGTGGGCCAGATTGTTTATTCTATTGTAGTGGTCTTACAAGGAAAGATTATAGCTAAACGTCTTGTAGTTTTTTTTTTAAAGAACCTATTATACAGATTACTTTTCCTAAGATCTCCAAAGACAGTTGTTCACTTCACTGCACTTCAGTTTACTGCAGTGAACTTTACTGCAGTGAGATTTTGTAAATCAGATTTAAGTTGAAGTAGAAGGCAGTAGCATATAAATTACTGTATAAATTAAGAGCCGGTTAAATTGAAAATTCAGTGGTGAAATTTATTTAACTGCAGTGTAGGAAGGCTCTGAAAGTAGAGATCTATTAATTTATGCTACTGAAATTCTGTAAGGCTTCTCTTTCCCACCCCCATCTTTCTACCACCATTAAAGTTTTGAAGGTTAAAGTCATTTATAGCATTCCAGTATCGCCTTTTTTATTGTTAAATAAAGAACACTAAGACTTTTGTTAAACTGAGCAGAACCCATTAGATGGTATTAAAAAGATAGTTTTGAATGAGGATGAGAAAAAATATAATTAAATGCTTGATTCTTATGTACACAGGTCTATACAGAGATTTTTTTATTAAAATAGATTGATGTAATGCTTATGCAGTTTATTCTAAATTATATCATCTATTGTCACATTTTATGACAATTTGAGGAATTGAAATATGCATTTTTAATATATATCAGACTGCCACATTTCCAGCTTTTTGAGGAGAAAGGACTGTATGTTTTCATGCAACATAGAACTACCAATGAGTGCTTGGTATATGATTAAAAGAAAGTACAATATTAAATCACCTGAGCAGAAATAAAGTTAAAATCTTCTTCAGGTTGAGCCCAAATTCTGGTGACATCCTAGACACATTTGTATAGTTTTCTTGGCAACAATATGGACATGGTTTGTCGTTATCATTGTCCAAAACGTCAGAATCTGTCCTCTAACCCGTTATTTCCATGTGGTCTAATCAAGTCAAACCAGATTCAGTCTTGCTGAGCTTTTGAAGATCAGCCAAGGTACTGCCTAGTCAGGGCATTAATCCTTAACAAAAATCAAGAAAATAAAAGTTACTTTTTTCTTACAATAAGGTGAAGTGATAACATTTTTTGTACTGAATTACTATTTCCTTTAGTACAGAGACACTTTATCTGAGGGATGGGCAACCTTCTATTACTGAATGCTTTCTTGTGCCTTTCAGAGCCCATTTTGATTGTGCCACTGAATTTCAATGATGCCGTTGCTGGAAATTGGCAGATTGGTTTCAAACTTTGAGCTGAAATAGGATTGAAGTAGCTTTTAAAAATCAGAAGAAGATTGTACCTCGTTAAACCTACTGGGAAAAGAGCCCAGAATCCTCCTTCCCTTCCCCACTCCTAACCCTCTAGTGCGACAGAGCCCTACCTATTTGTGACTTCATCCCACTCATCGTGGCCTTAATTATGCTTCCTGCTCCCAATACTGTATCGTCCTTATCGTCCAAAATGTTGCCTACTTCCACTTTATCTAATTATGGATAATATTCATGATATTAATATTCTGGATGCACATGCAAGGTATTTTTTAATATCACCTGCTCAAATATAGTGTGGTTTCTTGTGCGTCTACTGGCTCGTGTATGGCCGCTGTTGAGAAATTACTTAATATACCAGTAGGAATCCATTAGAATTGCAGATGTATTCACACTCTCAGTGAGTGTAAGTGCTAAACACGGGAAAAAAGATAGGTTGTTATACTGCTGTAGGGGTGTCTAGCAGAAGTTATCTATTATTGGATGATATAAGAATACAACAACTAAGTGCCATATAGGAGTCATTTAGGATTTGGAAAATGAGGAAGAGTCAAAGAGTCTAGGCAGATAGCCCAGAACTGTAGAATTTGTATCGAGAAAGTGAAAGCTTAGAATGAGCTGAGGTTAGCAAAGGATGCTTAGAATAATAAAAAAAGGCTTCTTTAGATATGCTGAAAATAAATGGAAAAGAATACTAGCTGCTCAGTAAAAACAACAATATTCTATCAGGTCTCAAATAAGAGGTTCAATCTTCCGAAGCAGAAAAGATGGCAGGGCTGAAGCTTGAAACAAATAGAAACTTAGGGAATACGTCTGTACTTTGAATAAGTTCAAATATCTAGGATCAGTTGACTTGCATCCTAAGATGCTGAAGGAACTAATTATCTTACATAATCCTGAAAAATTGTTAACATGCTGAATGACTTAGAGGAGAGCAAATGTTCTTATCTTCAGAAAGGAGGATCCAGGGATCTATAAACTAGTCTGATACCGATACCTGGAATTGTTCATCAACTGCTCTGAGGTCTATGGAGCAATTCATAAAGAGATGAATATGTTTTATTGTTATAAATGCCAGAAAGTAAAGTATTAAAAATATTTTTCCCCTTGGGATGTATATGAATAATTTGATTTGTGTGGCCTCATATCACACCAGATGAAGTTTTGAATTGAATTTAAGATTATGCAAGTTGACTTCTGCTACAGCAACAGTATTTCCCATTATTGTCTCTCTCCCCACCCTAATTCTTACATGTATTCCAAATCAACACCAAAGAATCCTCCAACCCTCCAGGGCAGATTTGAAGGATGTTTGGGATAGAAGTGCAATTAAGAATCTGTTTGGTGGCAGAATGACACAATTAGGAAAAATTCTTGGTTTTTCAATTATTTCATACTGTGACAAAAGTGATGCAAAGTTAGTGAATGTTAATTAAATGAATGTACTCTGCCACTGAAGGAAGATAATATTTGTTCATTTTAGGAAAGCACAAGAAGGAAAAAAGAAAGTTGTTCTAGCAGGATGTGTTCCACAAGCCCAGCCCCGACAAGACTATCTGCAAGGCCTGAGCATTATTGGGGTGAGAATATTATGGTTTGTGTTGAGATTCTTTCAGAACTTGATCGTTAGGAGTTTTAAGAACCTAAAATGTTGTCTTTTCTTGGCTATAAATTTTGCTAATCTAATCTCTAACGCTTTCTAAACATCTGTCTAAGATTTTATTATATCCTGCGTTAGCTGAGATACCATAAAACTGGAAACATCATGAATTATAGAGAACAGAATTATGCACTTTTCAGTATAGTAATTTATACTGATCTTGTTGATGGAACTGCAGAATGTTCTTGATGTATTCCTCACCAGTCAAAAAACTGATGTTTCTTAGCTAAATTGACATTAGGAAGGTACTCTAGAGCAGCGACATCCTTTAGCTTTATTTGACAATCTTGGAATTTGAACATTCCTTGAGCACATACCATCATTAGGAGAAAGAAGAGATAATGTACTTACAAGACAACTTTGGAGATTTGTATGTCCATATGTATATGCAAGGTATCTCAAGCATGTACAGTTGTTTCTAGAATTGTTCACAATGTGTTGACATGTCCTTTATTTTAAAATGGTCACACTGAAAGAGCAGTTCATCCAGACATTGATGTAAACAAGATAATCAGAATTACATTGATGTAAACAAGATAATCAGAAAAGGAAATTATTATTTTTGCCTGTTTCATCTAATGCAAAGTCATATGTGCTTTGTTTCTGATTTAGTGTAATATACAAATATATTTATTCTGAGTTCATTTTATATGCAGACCAAGCCACTATGGCTCATTTAACAAACCATGGTTAGATATTCTGGCATGCAATTGACATTTCCAACTGCATTTGCTAATCTCATTAAATAAAATTTAATGTTCACTGCTGGATTATTTATGGTCAAGCATAACATGTGAATGACATGCTACTTATTTCCATGGCTTGAAGAGGAAATTGATTGAGTTTCTTAGTGAATATTGGTAGCCCTTGTAAACTCTGAACTTCCTAGTATTATACAGTATATGCAACTTCTTCTCTGTAGACATTTTAAGTGACTGAGCTGTGGAACTGCTTATCATGCATTGTAGAAAGAGGCTGGAGTGCAGGACTTGAATCTCCTCCAGATTTGCTGCTACTACTGTTCTTGTCCAGGGATGCTGTCAGTTCTTGCTAAGAGTACAGCTTATTGGCCACCATTCATAATTATATAAATTCTCTACTTTGTAGATTTATGTAAGCTGTCCTTGTAAAAAAGCCTGGGGTGACTTCTCCTTTATAATTGGTTCTTGCTGCATTGAGTAATACTTTTTGCTGGCATGAAATTGGTGCTAAACTTTGTTGTAAGCTGGCTTTTATATTTTAAAAGCACAATATGGATGCAGTAAAACATAGGCATTGACTTTTATTTGATTCACTTTTCAATCTGTCTTGCAAGCAGAAATATGTAGGTAGACAGCATATAGCAAAAAGTGCAAGGGTTCTTTTATGTGGATTAAATACATTCAAGAATGTGTTTGAAAAAGGGTCTTTCAAAGGTCATCTGAATATTCACAGCTTGATTTATTAATCTATTGCATTTCAGGTTCAACAGATAGATCGTGTAGTGGAAGTTGTTGAGGAAACTATTAAGGGTAAGCTTTTCAGCTGAAATAATGCACGTGTTCATTCTTCTCAGTGCTCATTCCTGATGTTGCTTTGATCACATATATCCCTAAGGAATCTCCTGTTGAAATATGCCACATACACATTCAAAATACTGACTGAAATGTAAATATTTAGCAGGTGCCACATACATCACAAAAAATCTACAGAAAGCTGAGCCAAATTAATATAGATCACCCTAGCTGGTTCGCTCAGTAATTGGTTTTTAATATTTAATACTTTTCAAAAATTTGTATTTCAATGTTCTTATATTTTTTTTCCTTATATATTCTTATGTAGATCATGATGTATTTCAGAGAAATTGATGTTCATTTACTGCAGTATTTAATTGTATCAGATGTCAAGTTTTGCATTAAAGATATTGGGTTTTTAGAACACAGAAAGATATTGTATGAATTTTATGAAGCATAGAGTGCCTTTATATTCTCAGCTCATATAGCCTGTAGAGAGAGAGAGAATGAATGAGGATAAATCCACTCTTTTTACAAAATAAATAATTTAAGTTTGTATGTATGTGTGCAAACTGCTTCTATATTTATAGTCAAAATTCTGTATTTCCCATGTCCCCCAAGAAGGAAATTATTCTGTGCCTACCTATCTTGGAGCACTGGTGCAGAAAATGTTGCTTTTCTGGATATTAACAAAGTACATCTCTCAGTGTTTCCCACTGTTAGCCATGCTGTTGGGAATAGTACTTCAAAACATCTGGAGGACTACATTTTGAGGAAATCTCATTGAACTAAATCACAGCAACAATGCTTTTGGACCCCAGTGTGTTAGGAGACTAGATAACAACAATGGAGTATTCTTGTAATACCTCACTCTTCCCTTGTCTTACCCCCATCCCTCCTAGGCATATCAGTAATTGGGTTCCCTGTCAGGAATGGCATACCTCACAGCCTCTCAGTTACCAGGTTCCTTTTTAAAATATGTATATAATAATGATGGACTCAATCTACAAAAAATAGTAGGAATTTTTTTTTCAAGTTAAATATGTTAAAGTTTACCATTTAGAATTATGAGTTGTGAATGGATTATAGACCTGCTTAACATCTACCTGACCAATTATTGTAGTAGGCTGACTTAGGGGACAACATGTGTAGAAATGCACCAGGCATTTATTCCTCAGGCCAACTCTATCAAGTGATTGCAAAGCCCTGTTGAGTGTCTGCAGGAACACTTCTCTCTCCAACTCAAAATTTGCTTGATAGACAAAGGGTGATTTTAGAGTTCTTGTTCTAATATTCCCTCTCAGATGAGACAAAATAACACTTTTACAGCTTATATCACATGGTATTTGGAATACACATCTTATATGTTCATGTCCTGGATTTATGAAACACAGAGTAGAAATCAGAAACATAATATTACTTTAAACTGATTTTTACAGTATCCATACAAAATCATGCCAGTGCTTTTATTATTTTAATGTTGTGAATATTAGCCAACTTAAACATTTCTACTGACATCATAAAGCTTCCTGCAAAACATCAAACAGCAGCATTCTGTAAAGTGTATCCATATTGGATTAAGGGAAAACTAGACTTTCTGGTTGAATAAAACCTGCACTGGTCCTGAGTTTCACAGAACATTTTGTGAAATGGGTCACTGGACAGGATTACTGTAAACAAGTAAAAGGAAATTACTTCAGTGTTGAACTTTTTCAGACTTCATCTAACCCCTCTAAGTCTCAGTCACATTAACCTGTCTGGTAATATGGTCTATCTGTTCCTAGTTTAAATATTAACTAATATTTGCCAACTGTTTAGCTGCCGTACCAATCAATCTGTTGTTATTGGTGGGCCACTAAAAGCTCGCAAATGATCTGTGTGTACATTGTGTAGCCTAAAGTAGAGAACTTTTATTGACAGCATGTCTGTCAGTCTAGACACAAACAGAAGCACAAAAGAGCTCTCCTTGAACTGTTTTGAATGTGACATTTTCTCTCCCCATAAGTTCACTGCCCTTGTGGGGGGGACACACATTAATTTGTGGGAAACACACAGGTATTTTTTGCACACATTGGAAACTATGGCTCACTTCAGCTTCCTAGTGCATGTACATGTGGCAGAAAATATTTTACCAGCACTGTTCATATTTCTTCATACATGATAGTGAAATCTGTGTAAGGAAAACATTACAAATAAAACATCATTACTTTGTGTGCATCTTTGGTATTGCATGCCTTCAGCTAATATCCTACATCTAAATATATTACGTATAACTGAAGGATGCTCTAATTCTGAACTTCTATAACAGCATGGGTGTAGCTTAGCATGGTGCTAATTAACAGTGCTAATTACTCATCAGTCTTGTGAGCCATTATAAGAAGGGAACGTGCAGCTATTCAGGAAAAGACACAGCTTAAGGAGTTGTTACAGGGAGAGTGAATGCCCAGGCTGGATCTGAAGCATCTTTCTCATTTCCAGTCTAAACAAATGCACATGAATCATAGTAAATTAAGTTCTCTGATGAGAGTTAAACTAATATATTAAACTCTAAAAAGAAATGTTAAAGTGTTGAAAATATTTTATTAGAACTCATAGGGAAACTGGAAATTTTAATTTGGAAAAGTAGAATATATGTGCATTTACATATCAGAATAAGCCAGAATTGTTTAAAATGTGGTTTGTTCAACAAGCCATAATGGTATGGTTTACACATCACATTGAATCATAATGTGTCAGTTCATATTTCATACTAGGAAGTATCAATATAATCTGTATGGCTTGAGTAATCAGAAATCACTCATTAATAGCTGAACTCTTAATCTGGTAATATCTTTCATCAATAGAATATTGTGTTAAGATGTCTGCTATCCATAATGATATTCCCACCACTTAATTTGTAGCATATGTAGATACTGAAGTTATATATTCATCACCTGTGTTTTTCTACAGTAATTTTAATTTTATGCACAAGGGCTTCTATACGCTCTTCCTACACACAGTTAAGAAGTCTAGGTTAAGCAGAGTTTATTTATTTTGACTGATTATCAATTTCAAACTGCGGTTTAATATCATGGCTTAATAAAAGTCAGTGGCCACAGTTTCTTGGTTCACTCAGTGCTAACTGGAGAATTAAGAGCTTGTATACATGTTCATTTGTAACTCAGTTTATTGCGCTAATGTATAATTTTCTTTAAAAAGATCATTTATATTAAATAATTTTAATATAAATTATCTTTTTAAAGAAAATTATACATTAGCGCAATAAAATGAGA